GATGGCCAATGAGGGGAAGGGAGGTTGCGTTGGAATCGTGTGACCGAGAGGAATGCCATAGAGTTGGAATTTTGCATGAAAAAGGTCTCTAAAGAAATTTTATTTCTTCACCAAATAGGCTTGTGGGCTCACGAAAAGTTCGGTTTAAAGTGAAATATCTCATTGTACCGATGGTCAATGAGTGGAAGGGAGGTTGCGTTCGAATCATATGACCGGGAGGGACGCCATAGATTTGGAATTTGCATGAAAAAAGGTCTCTATAGAAATTTTATTTTTTCACCAAATAGGCTTGTGGGCTCACGAAAAGTTCGGTTTAAAGTGAAATATCTCATTGCACCGGTGTTCAATGACTCGAAAGGAGATTGCGTTGGAATCGTGTGACCGAGAGGAACGCCATAGAGTTGGAATTTGCAAGAAAAAAGGTATCTAAAGATATTTCATTTTTTTCATCAAATAGGCTTCTGGGCTCACGAAAAGTTCGATTTAAAGTGCAATTTCTCATTGCACCGATGGCCAATGAGGGGAAGGGAGGTTGCGTTGGAATCGTGTGACCGAGAGGAACGCCATAGATTTGGAATTTGCAAGAAAAAAGGTCTCTAAAAAATTTCATTTTTTCACAAATAGCTTGTGGCTCACGAAAAGTTCGGTTTAAAGTGCAATTTCTCATTGCACCGATGGCCAGTGAGGGGAAGGGAGGTTGCGTTGAATCGTGTGACCGAGAGGAACGCCATAGATTTGGAATTTGCAAGAAAAAAGGTCTCTAAAAAATTTCATTTTTTCACCAAATAGGCTTGTGAGCTCACGAAAAGTTAGGTTTAAAGTGCAATTTCTCATTGCCCGATGGCCAATGAGGGGAAGGGAGGTTGCGTTGAATCGTGTGACCGAGAGGAATGCCATAGAGTTGGAATTTGCAAGAAAAAAGTCTCTAAAGAAATTTCATTTTTTCACCAAATAGGCTTGTGGGCTCACGAAAGTTCGGTTTAAAGTGAAATATCTCATTGTACCGATGGTCAATGAGTGGAAGGGAGGTTGCGTTGGAATCATATGACCGGGAGGAACGCATAGAGTTGGAATTGCAAGAAAAAGGTCTCTAAAGAAATTTTATTTTTTCACCAAATAGGCTTGTTGGCTCACGAAAAGTTCGGTTTAAAGTGAAATATCTCATTGTACCTGTGTTCAATGACTCGAAGGAAGGTTGCGTTGGAATCGTGTGACTTAGAGGAACGCCATAGTGTTGGAATTTGCAAGAAAAAAGGTCTCTAAAGAAATTTCATTTTTTTCATCAAATAGGCTTGTGGGCTCATGAAAAGTTCGATTTAAAGTGCAATTTCTCATTGCACCGATGGCCAATGAGGGGAAGGTAGGTTGCGTTGGAATCGTGTGACCTAGAGGAACGCCATAGAGTTGGAATTTGCTAGAAAAAATCTCTTAAAAGAATTTCATTTTTTCATCAAATAGCCTTGTGGGTCACGAACAGTTCGGTTTAAAGTGAAATATCTCATTGCACCGGTGGCCAATGAGTGGAAGGGAGGTTGCGTTGGAATCATATGACAGAGAGGAACGTCATAGAGTTGAAATTTGCAAGAAAAAGCTCTTAAAAGAAATTTCATTTTTTCATCAAATAGCCTTGTGGGTCACGAACAGTTCGGTTTAAAGTGAAATATCTCATTGCCCGATGGCCAATGAGTGGAAGGGAGGTTGCGTTGGAATCATATGACCGAGAGGAACGTCATAGAGTTGGAAAATGCAAGAACTGTTCATGAGTGGAAGGGAGGTTGCGTTGGAATCATATGACCGAGAGGAACACCATAGAGTAGGAATTTGCAAGAAAAAGGTCTGTAAAGAAATTTCATTTTTTCACCAAATAGGCTTGTGGGCTCACGAAAAGTTCGGTTTAAAGTGAAATATCTAATTGTACCGATGGTCAACGAGTGGAAGGGAGGTTGCGTTGGAATCATATGACCGGGAGGGACGCCATAGATTTGGAATTTGCATGAAAAAGGTCTCCAAAGAAATTTTATTTTTTCACCAAATAGGCTTGTGGGCTCACGAAAAGTTCGGTTTAAAGTGAAATATCTCATTGTACCGGTGTTCAATGACTCGAAAGGAGGTTGGGTTGGAATCGTGTGACCGAGAGGAACGCCATAGAGTTGGAATTTGCAAGAAAAAAGGTCTCTAAAGATATTTCATATTTTTCATCAAATAGGCTTATGGGCTCACGAAAAGTTCGATTTAAAGTGCAGTTTCTCATTCTGCACCGATTGCCAATGAGGGGAAGGGAGGTTGCGTTGGAATCGTGTGACCGAGAGGAACGCCATAGATTTGGAATTTGCAAGAAAAAAGGTCTCTAAAGAAATTTCATTTTTTCACAAAATAAGCTTGTGGGCTCACGAAAAGTTCGGTTTAAAGTGCAATTTCTCATTGCACCGATGGCCAAGTGCGGGGAAGGGAGGTTGCGTTGGAATCGTGTGACCGCGAGGAACGCCATAGATTTGGAATTTGCAAGAAAAAAGGTCTCTAAAAAAATTTCATTTTTTCACCAAATATGCTTGTGGGCTTACGAAAAGTTCGATTCAAAGTGCAATTTCTCATTGCACCGATGGCCAATGAGGGGAAGGGAGGTGGCGTTAGAATCGTGTGACCGAGAGGAACGCCATAGAGTTGGAATTTACAAGAAAAAAGGTCTCTAAAGAAATTTCATTTTTTCACCAAATAGGCTTGTGGGCTCACGAAAAGTTCGGTTTAAAGTGAAATATCTCATTGTACTGGTGGTCAATGAGTCAAAGGGAGGTTGCGTTGGAATCATATGACCGAGAGGGACGCCATAGAGTTGGAATTTGCAAGAAAAAAGGTCTCTAAAGAAATTTCATTTTTCACCAAATAGGCTTGTGGGCTCACGAAAAGTTCGGTTTAAAGTGAAATATCTCATTGTACCGATGGTCAATGAGTGGAAGGGAGGTTGCGTTGGAATCATATGACCGGGAGGAACGCCATAGAGTTGGAATTTGCATGAAAACAGGTCTCTAAAGAAATTTTATTTATTCCCCAAATAGGCTTGTGGGCTCACGAAAAGTTCGGTTTAAAGTGAAATATCTCAATTGTACCGGTGTTCAATAAATGGAAGGGAGGTTGCGTTGGAATCGTGTGACCGAGAGGAACGCCATAGAGTTGGAATTTGCAAGAAAAAATGTCTCTAAAGAAATTTCATTTTTTCACCAAAAAGGCTTGTGGGCTTACGAAAAGTTCGGTTTAAATTGAAATATTTAATTGCACCGATGGTCAATGAGTGGAAGGGAAGTTGCGTTGGAATCGTATGACCAAGAAGAACGCCATTGAGTTGGAATTTGCAAGAAAAAAGGTTTCTAAAGAAATTTCATTTTTCACCAAATTGGCTTGTGGGCTCACGAAAAGTTCGGTTTAAAGTGAAATATCTCATTGCACCAATGGTCAATGAGTGGAAGGAAGATTGCGTTGGAATCATATGACCGAGTAGAAACGCCATAGAGTTGGAATTTGCAAGAATAAAGGTCTCTAAAGAAATTTCCTTTTTTCACCAAATAGGCTTGTGGGCTCACGAAAAGTTCGGTTTAATGTGCAATTTCTCATTTCACGATGGCCAATGAGGGGAAGGGAGGTTGCGTTGGAATCGTTTGACAGTGAGGAACGCCATAGAGTTGGAATTTTCAAGAAAAAAGGTCTCTAAAGAAATTTCATTTTTTCACCAAATAGGCTTGTGGGCTCACGAAAAGTTCGGTTTAAAGTGCAATTTCTCATTGCACCGATGGCCAATGAGGGGAAGGGAGGTTGCGTTGGAATCGTGTGACCGAGAGGAACGCCATAGAGTTGGAATTTGCAAGAAAAAAGTTCTCAAAAGAAATTTCATTTTTCACCAAATAGGCTTGTGGGCTCACGAAAAGTTCTGTTTAAAGTAAAATATCTCATTGCACCGATGGTCATGAATGGAAGGGAGGTTGCGTTCGAATCGTATGACCAAGAAGAACGCCATAGAGTAGGAATTTGCAAGAAATAAGTCTCTAAAGAAATTTCATTTTTTCACCAAAAGGCTTGTGTGGGCTTACGAAAAGTTCGGTTTAAAGTGAAATATCTCATTGTACTGGTGGTCAGTGAGTCAAAGGGAGGTTGCGTTGGAATCATATGACCGAGAGGAACGCCATAGAGTTGGAATTTGCAAGAAAAAAGTCTCTAAAGAAATTTCATTTTTTCACCAAATAGGCTTTGTGGGCTGACGAAAAGTTCGGTTTAAAGTGAAATATCTCATTGTACCGGTGTTCAATAAATCGAAGGGAGGTTGCGTTGGAATCATTTGACCGAGGGGAACGCCATAGAGTTGGAATTTGCAAGAAAAAATGTCTCTAAAGAAATTTCATTTTTTCACCAAAAAGACATGTGCGCTTACGAAAAGTTCGGTTTAAATTGAAATATTTAATTGCATCGATGGTCAATGAGTGGAAGGGAAGTTGCGTTGGAATCGTATGACCAAGAAGAACGCCATAGAGTTGGAATTTGCAAGAAAAAATGTTTCTAAAAAATTTCATTTTTCACCAAATAGGCTTGTGGGCTCGACGAAAAGTTCTGTTTAAAGTGAAATATCTCATTGCACCAATGGTCAATGAGTGGAAGGAAGGTTGCGTTGGAATCATTTGACCGAGAAGAACGCCATAGAGTTGGATTTTGCATGAAAAAGGTCTCTAAAGAAATTTCATTTAGAATTAGAAGCCCATCTGGTCCAGAAGGTAATCAATGTTTTTTCCCTTTATCATATCATCTATCATCATTACAAGCTTCCACCCCCTCTTATTTTGTACCGTTTCTTCTGTATCTTCCCTTCTCTTTTTCAGCTCATAGGTTTCCCAGTTTGGTAGGGGAGAAATGAGGAATGGGGAGAGGGATTTAGGGGGGAATGGGAATCCAAATTTTCTATCTTTCCTTAATTTTAATGACTGGGGTCTTTGTCAATACTCTGTTCTTTGTCTTTTATTATTTTTCGTTCGCTGAAATCTGCTGTTTGTGTTTGGTTGCTGAGTAAACCGAGAATCCTAGTCACTGAGTGGGAAATTTCAGGTTCGCAGCTGCTGTTGGCTTTTATTTCCTTTCTAAAGCCTCTTCCTTTTCCCGTTTCCTCAGGGGAGTGATTGATCAGTGAAGCAGAGGAAAACAGAGAAGTAGATAGTGAAGGAAGAAGGAGAACAGAGGGTCTAAGATGTTGTCGTGCATAGCGTGCACGAAGCCGTCGGCGGATGACGAAGGGGAGGAGGTCGGCGGCGGAGTAGCGTCGGCGCGTGGAGGGAGTGATACTCCCAATACTAAAGAAGCCGTCAAAAGCCTGACGAATCAGGTCCATCCCTTCCTTTCCCTTTTTTTCACTCCTCCATTTAATACTCTGTCTCTGTGCATTTCGTTTTCAAAGAGTTTCTTTTCCTTGTTGGTTGCTTTGGTTCTTGTTCCCTTCTTCTAAAATTTCAATGTGCTCGACATGATCCGAATGTGCTCAACTAGTCTCCATAGATAGATTGACCCAATAATGTTATTGGTATCACTACATTCAACCCCACCATTGAAATTATGCACAACTACTCAACAAGATCATCCCTCAATAGCTTTGATGCCTAAAGATTGGAGCCTTGGTATGCAATGTTGCAAATTTGATATGGTGGGGCCCAAAGAAAGAGGTGGTGGTAGGGACCAAGGAGTGCAAATATGCCTTAATTAGGGGGGCACCTCTTTCTTTTTTGGCATCTTTCACGTTTACATGTCAATTGCTAACTGGGGCTGCCCTTACTTAGCTCCTTTCCTTCCTTACTTGCTTCAATGCTCTGTTTTCTAGTGTTCTTTTGCTCTCCTCTGCTGCTGCTAGTTCGCTTTCTTTCTCTTCCCTTCCTTCTTTCCAACCAATCACTGGCCAGCAGTTATTGTTGCCTCTGCTGCTGCTGGAGTTTTGTATTGATATCCTTTTCTTTCTCACATTGCTTTTTTCCTTTGTGTGTGTGTGTGTGTGATCCTTCCTGGTCTAGAAAAGCAAAGTGGCCTCTGTCTCACTCTCTTGCTTTTGTGTTTCTTTTTGTTTCTTGTTTTGATTCCCGCCCCCCTCCCCCTCAGTGTACCCTCTTATTCCTTTCTCATGTTTCCTTTTGTTTTCTTTTGTGAAACTGGGATTGAGAATTTGAGATAACATCAATCGGGAAAACTAGGCTTTTAGATACTGTCCTTGTTAGGTTGTTTGGTGCAAGAAATGCGATCTAACTTGGATCTTTTAGTTAACCGGTTTTTAGATACTCCCATAACGTTACAATTTGAAAAACCAATAAAAACGGTCATTGGCAGACAACAAAACAACACGAGGATGTTGTTGAGGGAGACAAGAAAACAAGAGGGTTTGATTCATTGGGTGTCCTGTAGTGAATTTGGAGGCCAAAATGATTTCCCAGGATTCCTGGGTGGAGGAGGGTTTCCAAGTCCTTTACTTCGTCTTCTGTACTAATAAATACTAACTCCCCACTATAGATAAAAGAATAAGAAACCGATATGGCTGGAGCACCACAATGGAGAATTTGGTTCCTTATATTTCCTCTAATATAATGCCTAATGAGGTGGGTCTGAAACCAATATGGGTATATCTTGGTTAAGTGTTGTTTTAAGGTACATGATTTGTTCAAAAGAGGGAAAAAAAATACTCAGCAACAACAGCATCTCATTTCATCAGACAAGAAAAAGGAATTTGCCTTGGAAGGGTTGTGGCTTTATAAAGATGATGGTGGCTTGGTTTGTTAATGAAGGAAAGAAAAAGATGCCATAATAATAATAATATTAATCATCCTTGTTGTTATGACCCACCATATAGAATTCCTGTCTGTCTGATCCATTCTTTTTTTCTTTTTACATTCCAAAGAAACATATCATATGATATTATTGGGATGTGAAATGAAGGTAGGGAAGGGACTTTGCTTTTCTTCCCCATAGTTGTTAGTGTAGGCAAGAATTGAAAAAAGCATAAACACGGAAAGGTTGGTTTTGTGTTGGAAGAGGACCAGAATTGTCTTTTGTTGACTCATGTTTTTCCAATCCAATGTTGTGGGTTTGCTTGATCATGTTTTGGCCTTTCCCTTTTCCCTCTCATGCTTTCCCACCTCAAGAAAGATTGTATGATATGTTTGTAATAGATCAATGCAACAGGAATAAGGTAATGACGACATCTCAATTGTGTGATTCCGTCTTCAGTGAAGTGAAGCGTATTATTATGTGTATTCTAATTTGATTGATTTTTATCTGATTCTCTTATCTTATTTTTCAGATCATTCTAAAGTTATATGTTTGAAACATAAGCATCTTCCACATGATTACTTTGGTTTAAATCAACTTTTATTTCTCTGTAATTCCTCATTATTTTCATTGCTCTAAATCCTCTTAGAACTATAGAGTATAGACAAACGAGTTGAAATGATGCAAACTCATTAGAACTAAACGGCTAAACATAGCTTTGTTGCTGATTATTCGACTAAACTCAGGTGTAATCAGTAATTAGACACAGTTTTGTTGACTGAGACCCTCTTAAAGTTAAATGTGTTAATACATTGGCATACTACTAAATGAAAAGAAATTCGAGACTTTCCTCTAATGCTCTAGTTTGATTCTTTTCAGATCAAGGACATGGCACTGAAGTTATCAGGCACATACAAGCAATGCAAGCCCTGCACAGGAGGATCATCCAGCAGCAACTACAAGAAAGGACACCACCGCCCTTACCCTGACTTGGATGCAGCCTCGGAAGGAGGCGTTCCATATCCTTACTTCGGTGGCGCGGCAAGCTCCAGTTCCACGCCGGCATGGGACTTTCCTGGCCGCGGCGGCGGCGGAGGGAGAAGCGACACCAGATTCGCTTCAGGGGATTCATGCGATGTGGTGATCGACGATGAGCCCAAGGAATGGATGGCTCAGGTTGAACCCGGCGTCCACATTACCTTCGCTTCCCTCCCCAATGGGGGCAATGATCTCAAACGGATTCGGTTCAAGTGTGTGTTAATTTATAGCTCTCTCTACAACTCAGGGTTGCTCTGTTTTGCTGTTGTTGTTGTTGTTGTTGCAGAAGCTGACATTGATTAGGGGTTTGTTTTGAGTTGTGTTTTTGAAGCCGGGAGATGTTCAACAAGTGGCAAGCGCAGAGTTGGTGGGGCGAGAACTACGACAGGATCATGGAGCTTTACAATGTGCAGAGATTCAACAACCGCCAGTCTCTCAACACTCCTCCAAGGTCTCAAGATGAGGTAAAGTCTGCCCCACTCTGATCTCGTCTGAACCGAATGGTTGTTCCTCACTGTTTTTCCTCCCCCAATTTCAGCATAGAGATTCTACTTATTCGAGATTAGGCTCTGCAAGGGAAAGCCCCATGGCGCCAAGGAACTACTACAGGCCATCTCCTGGGATGATGGAACAGGGCAGCAGCCACCATTACCCTCCCGGTTACGGTCTGGGAGGCGGCCCGAGAGGCGAGGCTTCCTCGATGGAAGCCTCGAGAACCACAACCTCTTCGCAAGACGAGCCGTCCATCTCGGTGAGCAATGCCAGCGATTTGGAGGCGGAGTGGGTCGAGCAAGACGAGCCTGGAGTGTACATTACCATCAGACAACTCGCGGATGGTACCAGGGAGCTCCGGCGGGTTCGGTTCAGGTATGAAATTTAACGGTCAATAACTGTTTTTTGGTTTTCCATTTCAAATTTCCCGACAAGTATAGCAAACCCTGATGCTTCACATTGATGTCTTTTCCTCTTGTCTGCAGTCGAGAAAGATTTGGGGAAGTGCATGCTAAGTCATGGTGGGAGGAGAACAGGGATAGAATACAATCTCAATACCTGTAGAGAGAGAGAGAGAGAGGGGGGTTTGGAACAGAGTAAAGGTAAAAACTTTTTAACAGCATCTCAAAGGAAGTGGAGGGTTGCAGATTGGATATCCTCCAGGGAAAGATATGATATGAGTTGAGTGTTCTTTCTTTCTTCCAAGTTGTGTTCACACAGTTCACTGGACATGTGCTTAGAAAAGAAATTACGGCAATTGGGAAGAACATTGGCTGAAAGAGTAAAAGTGCAGCGTTACTGGATGCCCGATTTTTTGCCTGGAATGTGAGTGTAACCATTGTAATTCTTTCTACGTCACTGCGATCTTTAGGGGGGGATAACTTGTTCTTTCATCAATAGAAACTTTATATAGCTCAAAAGGAAATGGAATGGGGGATGTATATTATTATTTGGTGAGGTTGACACAATGCACCATTGTCGATGAAAGTATTATTCGTATCAAAGGATGAAATGACGGAGTTATAAGTCTGTCTAATTTTCATATGAAATGTGCTAGTCATCTAACATTTAAACGGGACACGCTGTATTTCGTGTAAGAAACCACAAAAAGCCCAGAATCCCCAGCCTAAAGTTTACTTCTTCCCCAATAGATAGAATCAACATGCATGTGTTGTTTATGCAAAGCCTAGATTCAAACCATAGTGCAGCAGTCCCTCCCGACGATCATCCAAGACTTCCAGTTCCCCATTCATTAACCAGACGACGCCCTCGCCGTTGCAAGGAAATGGTCGCGAATAGCCGCCCATTTAGTGACGAGCTTGTCACGGGGCGGCCAGCTTTCTTCAATCACAGGGATATCCGAAATCCTTCGACTCCATTCCGACAAAGACGGATGACGTTCCTCGTCCACGATTTTGAGGCCGAGGATCTCTTCGAAGACCGGCACCAAGTTGACCAGCCAGCCCAATGCGAAGTCAGGAATTCCGATCTCTTCCCCGCCCAAGAATTTCTTGCCTTCCAACTCTGCCTCCAGCAACTTGAGGTTCTCTGCAATCGAAGCCACTCCTTCCTCTTGCTCCCTCCCTTCCTTTGTGAAGGCTTGCCACATCGATGGAAGCGCCTGCGCCATCAACAATTCCAATAACTCGAGATTTACTAAAACATGAAATGGGCAGCTCAAATTTGGTTCTCATCGATCGAATCCCAATAACTAACCCGTAATCGTAGATCGTACATACCTTCTCGTCCATGAATTTGGCCCAGAAGCGAGCTGAGGCGCGCTGGATGGGATCCGAGGCAGCAACCTAGGCGGGTTCTGGCTCCAAGTCTCGTCGATGTACTCGAGAATCACGAGCGACTCGCAGATGGACTTGCCGTTGTGAATGAGGACAGGGACCTTCGTGTGGACAGGGTTGTACTGCAGAAGCAAATCGCTCTTGTTGGTGAGGTCTTCATCGACGGATTCGTAGGGTATGCCCTTGAGCTTCAGCGCCCAAACGACCCGCAGACCGAACAGGCTCGACCATGTCTTCAGCAGCTTCACTTCTCCTTGATCGGCCATGGCGATGGGTTTTTGGTCTGTACTCTGTTTTGTGATGGCTGCAGTGGAGTGGAGGTCCTATTTGATTGTTATGTACATCTCTCAATGGCAATGGCAATGGCATATTTAAAGAGATATTGATAGCTCTGTTGTGGGCAATGCATCTCTTTGGCTGGCTGGACCATGACTTTTGTTTTGTGTCTTGTAGTAGCATAGCAGCCGGGTCTTAGTTTTCCACTTTGGAACAATAATTAAGCTGTAAGATGACATAGTAATCACAGTTTTGTCCGCATGTGATGAAGTGATGGAAGCCGTCCTAATTATATTCCTAACTTATTAGAACATCCTAGAGAAAGTTACAGGGTGTGTAGAGTGGGTAAAATACCTTGGTAGTACCTAAGTTTGAGAATTTAGGTAGACATATCATTTACGTTCGAATAGGGTGTCGGGTACCATTAAAGTCGTCAAAAGGTGTATCCATCTAGTTTTTCATCCAACCCAAAACTTTAATTACTTTTTGGTACCCAAACTCTTAAAAACATTCAAAACTATATTTCGACAAGTATTATCTAAGATAAAAATTAGAAAATCTTCTAAACATAATATTACTTGAATGACTAATGATATTTTTTCAACAAAATAGATAAATTAGTAAATAAACGAATATCAAGAAGGAATAATAAATATATAAAATCAATATTATAAGTTCTATGTAAACCGCCAATACAATTAGAAGCACCACTAATAAATATACTAGAATATATAATTAAAAATACTTATAATGATAATTATTCATAAAAAATACTTATAATCATAATTGATTCTAAATTTATTATTCAAAAATTGGTTTGGTATAAACAAAGTTTTCAAAAGATTATTCCAACTAAAAAATAAAAAAATAATGTTTTTCATAAGTTCGAAAGATTTTTTACAATAACAAAAAGTAGAAGAACCAATTCTGAAATTTAGAAAATGGAATATTCCAACAATATTCTGTCAACTTTAACATAATGCACTTGACAGTAAACTTAAGTGGTATCAGGTCCACATATTATAGAGTTCAGTGGCACGCGATGCTCTATTCTTACCTAAGTGGTATACCTCCCCCAATTCTCATACTTTAGTGGTACCCGAGGTATTTTACCCTGTGTAGAGTTGTATTCTTAAATAATTTTCATCAATACAATAAATTGGTTCAAGAGTTTACTCCATTATATTCTGCGATTTTTATGCTCACGGTGGGTAACAGAGAGGATGGATGATTCATCTTGCAGCCTTGCTGTCAAGAAGAATGGAGGCTCTGCTACTGATGAAGAACGAAGAACAGAAGAAGGATGCAGAGCCTCATACTGTGACGTTTGCAAAGAGACAGAACAAAGTGAAGTGCAACCGTTTTGGCTAATAGCCCACTGATATGGTTTTACTGTATAGTTTACACGTGTATAGCTCTTATAGGTTTATTTTCATTTGTTAGTTGTAGTTAGCGTTAAGTGTAATTAGTTGAATGTATATAAGCTGCTCCAGCATCAATGGAAAGCTCTAACGAGCATTTTCCCCAGAAAATCTTATTCTTCTCATGGTATCAGAGCCTGATTGCTCTCACTACTAGGGTTTCAGTCCCTCCTTTCATCTTCCTATCCTTCATCCTCTTACAGTTCTTCTCTGATTGTTATTCCTACTCCTTTTTCCCTTTCCCCTTTCTTACCCTAACCAAAGACGATGGCCACTGGATCTGGCGATGACAAAACCAAATCTAGATCTGACTCTGAGAACGCCGGGAAATCTACTCTAGCAAACTTTCCCCAGTATGAAGACCCATACCTAAATCCTTACTACTTACCACCACAAGACGACGCCCTGTCTACGATCATTTCCATCAAACTGGGCGATGGAAAACTACCATAACTGGAGTCAAGCCATGCTGGTTGCTCTTGCTACTAAGAACAAAATCCCGTTCATAGATGGTCAGATTCCAGCCCCTCAGGTAACAGATCCCATTTACCAATCCTGGCTTCGATGCAATGGAACTATTCGCTGTTAGATCTACAATGCTTTAGCAGAAGACATAACGAATAGTGTGATGAGGTTTAGAGAATGCTAAGGATGTATGGGATAACTTGAATAATCGTTTTAGCCAGGAAGATAATATGAGGGTTTATGATCTTAATGAGCAACTGGGGTAAATGTGTTCTGGGTGAGAACCAATCACTCAATACTTTACTGATATCACTGTGTTGTGGGACGAATATAAAAGGTACAAACCCATACCTAGCTGTGCTTGTACTAGCCCTTATGAAGTGCTGAATATATACCAAAAATAATGACTTCATTATCAACTTTATGCAAGGGCTTAATGAGTCATATCAGTTTGCGAGAAACCCAAGTGTTGATGAATCATGTTCTGCCTAGCATTGATATTGTGTTCAAGCAGATTCTTCAGCTTGAAAGGCAGATGAAATGTGTCAACAAGAGTAGGGGAGTTGACACAGTGGCACTTGCAGCAGCATCAAACCACAACAATCAGGGTTCTCAACACCACAAACCAGTGATAGAGACTTTAAGAATGGAAAGAAGTTCTACAGGTATTGCAAAAAGGACTACCATACTGTGTTTGAATGTCTTAAGTTGAAGAACAAGAAAGCAAGAGAAGCTGGATGAGGGGGCTTTGCTGGTTCAGTTGAAACAAGAAATGAACCAAGAAGGTTCACATGGAGTCCTAGCTGCTTCTGCTTCAGTGAAAAGAAGCTCGAACTTGCAAGCCAAGAATGGTGGATTGGCAAGCTTGCAGTTGAGCAATGAATAGCTGAAAAAGCTGAGGATGTTTTTGCTGGGATCTCCATCACCTTATCCACCAACATCACCATCAATTCAGACATTCTACCAATGCTGTTGTCACTCAGTACCAGACAGTTGAATTACCTTCAGCTCAGGTACTACAGTCTTGTCTACACTCTTAGCCAATACTGCAGAAACCACTATGGGTACTTGATATTGGGGCAACATATCACATAGTCTGTCATTTGAAGTATTTTATGAAATATAAACCCTTGGAAGGGATTTATGTCAACTTACCTAATGAAATAGAGTCCAGGCCACACACATAGGAGTAGTCAAACTTGTGACTTGTTTCTTTCCCAAGTCCTGTTTGTGCCAAGTTCTTCTTACAATTTGGTTTCCGTCAGCAAACTTACCAAAACAACCTTGTCTCACTCTTGTTCAAATCCTCTTTCTGTGTTATACAAGACCTTATTACACAGAGGAGGATTGGTTTAGCCCAGATCGATAAGGGTCTCTATCTGTTCAATCACAAGCAGGACACTATCAGTTCCCTACCTAAGTGCTTAGCCACAACACATCTCAACTTTCAACCTCAGAATTTTGATCTTTGGCATGCCAGACTTGGTTACCCTTACATAGCTAGAATAGAAGCTATACACAAACAGTTTCCAAATGTCATTCCCTCACAGATTATTCATTGTAATGTTTGTCACTTGGCAAAACAGAAAGATTGCATTTCCCTTCCAGTTCCTCTGTTAATCCCTCTTTGTTTGGTCCGTTACATGTGGATATTTGGGGACCTTTGAGTATTCAATCTTACAATGATTCTAGCTATTTCTTGACAATCGTAGATGATTGCAGTAGATGTGTGTGGACCTATTTAATGAAATCTAATGATGAAACCAGAAGTTTATTGCAATCTTTTTGTGTTATGGTTCAAAAACCATTTTCACAAATCAGTCTAGATTATTAGATCAGATCAGGGACAAGAGTTTCATATGGATGAATTTTACAAATCACATGGGATTGAACACCAGATGAGTGTTGCTTATACACCCAGCAGAATGGGAGGGTTGAAAGGAAGCATCAACATCTCCTTAATGTTGCTAGGGCTCTTAAGTTCCAATCAGGGCTACCATTGTCCTACTGGAGTGACTTTGTGCTCCATGCTGCTTTTCTGATCAATCGTTTGCCTACTCCAATTTTGAACAACAAGTCACCTTTTGAGATGCTATATGGTTTTCCTCCAGACTATAACACTCTTAAGGTATTTGGTTGCCTGGTTTATGCTTCTAATGCTGGACCTCACAGAACCAAATTCACACCCAGAGCCAAACAATGTGTGTTTTTGGGAATCCCAGTAGGCATCAAAGGTTTCAAGTTGCTTGATCTAGAAACCAAGAGAGTTTTCATTTCCAGGGATGTTCATTTCTAAGAACACATCATCCCTTATACAGCTTCCTCCTCTTCTGATTCTAGTCCTTCATCCCGTGATTTCTTCCCCTCACCTGCCTCGTTTCCCCTTGCCTTCTACTACCTATTCACCTCCTATCCCAAATCCCTCTAGTGAGTCCCCAGTTCCATTAGATCATCAGTCTGCAGGGGCACTCACACTCCCTTACCTTCTTCTTCACACTCATCTCATCATGATGAAGCACTACCCTCTCATACTATTTCCCCTATTCCTTTTTCACTACCTTCTTCTCCAGCTCCCTATACATCCAATGATTCCATTCCTGTTGTCTCCTCACAACCATCACCTACTCCTCCTCCTGTTCTAAGAAAGTCCACCAGAACAACCAAACCACCCAACTGGCATGATGATTATTATGTCTAGTACCCCATTAGCAAAGTCATGTCCTATAGTCAGCTTTTACCAAAACATCAACACTTCATAAATAGCCTTGCTACCTATACTGAACCAACCTCGTATGAGGAAGCAATCAAGGATCCAAACTGGAACAAGGCTACACAAGAAGAATTGAAAGCTCTTACTGACAATGGGACATGGGAGATTAAGTTCCTACCACCTGGGAAGAAGATCATTGGGAACAAGTGGGTGTGGAAGTTGAAAATACATTATGATGGGACAATTGAGAGACACAAAGCAAGAGCGTTTGAAAAAGGCTTCACTCAAATTTATGGCATTGACTACTGTGACACATTCTCACCAGTAGCCAAACTAAGTTCAGTGAAAACCTTGTTAGTAGTTGCAGCAGCTCAAGGTTGGCACTTGCATCAAATGGATGTGAGTAATGCTTTTCTAAATGAAGATCTAAATGAAGAAGTCTACATGGAAATACCACCTGGTTTAAATGACCAGGCAGCTAGAGAAGGGAAAGTTT